AGAGGAGGAAGAGGAGGAGGAGGAGGAAGAGGAGGAGGAGGAGGAAGAGGAGGAGGAAGAGGAGGAGGAAGAAGAGGAGGAGGAGGAAGAAGAGGAGGAGGAAGATGAGGAAGAAGAGGAGGAGGAGGAGGAGGTGGAGGAGGAAGATGAGGAGGAAGATGAGGAGGAAGATGAGGAGGAAGATGAGGAGGAAGACGAAGAATAGGAGGAGGAGAAAGAGGAGAGGATGACGAAAGGGAGGAGGACGAAGACAAGGCGAAGGAGGAGGAGAGGAGGAGAGGAGGAGGGAGGAGGAGGACAGCGAGGAGGAGGACAAAGGGGGGTCCGGGGGGGGAGAGGGCGCCGAGTCAGGGGACTGAGAGGCAGATTGTCTCGCCTCAACCCCCCCTCACCTGCTGCGCAGCCCCCTAACCCACTTTTTCTTTTTTTTCCCTAAATTAATCACTCACTCACTCACTCACTCACTCACTCACTCACTCACTCACTCACTCACTCAATCACTCAATCAATCAATCAATCAATCAATAAATAGGGCGCCGAGTCAGGGGACTGAGAGGCAGATTGTCTCGCCTCAACCCCCCCTCAGCCGCTGCGCAGCCCCCTAACCCACTTTTTCTTTTTTTTCCCTAAATTAATCACTCACTCACTCACTCACTCACTCACTCACTCACTCAATCACTCAATCACTCACTCACTCACTCACTCAATCAATCAATCAATCAATCAAACAAAGAAACAATCCTGATTTCAAAATGTGAGGGGGTACACTATAATGGATATTCAATGAGTTTTTCGCAAAAAAACTCCCATATTTGAACCTATGGCAGTCCTATGTAAGCGCAAAAAAAATAAAAAATAATAATAAAAAAAAATCGGCCATTTTCCGGTTTATCCGGAATTCCGGATAAACTAGATGCCGGATAAAGCGGCCGGATATTCCGGTCATTTAATCCGGCCGGAAGTGATAAACAACTTAGCACTTTTCCAAGTTCCAACTGAACTTTGGGCAGAATTGCAGTCTGATACATCCAGGTCTCACTGTACTTGAGGTCAGATGCATCCATGGACGTCCTAGTATGAGTATGCCCTATGTCATCTCACAAACATGGAAGGACGCCCTTATTCGAAGAGTTAAACCACCACCACCTCCGAGCCTTTTTTTCCCGAAGCATAGCAGAACTGCGTGCCAAGCTTTGTCGAAGCGCCAGCGCTACCTTTTTTCTTTTGCTTTGGCTGGCGCTGCCAGCCACTTCGGTCCTGTGGCGTCCGGCCTCCAAAGAATGTGGTATAGGTTATATTCTCGATGTCGACTTTGCCTGTGAAAGGTAGTGGTGGTTCAGGGCGTCAACCCCAGGCACAACTGTTGTGGCACAATGGTACACTCATGAACTGTTGATAAACAGACATGAGCTCGAATCCGAACAGAACCAGATGAGTAAAATAACTCTGAAGTACCTCAGGCCTGGCAGTTCAATGATGATACCTAAAGGCCATTGCCTGCGTCTTCTTTTTCTTTCTTTTCGTTTTTTTTTTTAATTTTCCTGTTTTTTTTTTGTTTTTTTTTTTTTAATTTTAAAATTTTAAGGAGAGTTAGGCCGTCAATTCGATTCACAAGTGTTGTTTAGTCATTTCGTCTAATCAAGAAAAAGTTTGGTTGGTGGCTGGTGCTTTTCTTAGTGATGAACGAATTGGCACCAATGTTCTTGCATGATAAGGTTTTGGAATGTAGCATTATGTAGGTGTTTGTTTGTTTGTTTGTTTGTTTCTTTTTCCTTTGCCAACAGAAATTTACTGACGCTTGTCTGCTGTGCCCCCAATGTGCTGTGTGCCTGTTGTGTGCACAAACCAGTCTACGCAAATGTCATCACCTGACGTAACGGAAGAGGCCGTCTATCTGTGCACTGGCAATCCTATGCCGAAAGATATCGAGCTGATCTGCTACTGGTTGCTGAATGAGTCCTTTTTGGATGCATACCAACGTATCCTTATCGTTAGCCTCTTTTTTTTGAGGCTTATCCTTATCCCATAGTTGGGGTGCATTGAGGTGCGCGGCTCAGCGCACGTCTGGCGCACCTCGCGCACCGCACTGCGCATCGTACCCGATACGGTGCGAAACAGGAAAAAAAAAAAAAAAAGAAAAGAAAAAAAAGGTCCGCCTCCCCCCAAAAAAGTGCAAGGCCTCTCCCTCTCTCTCTCTCTCTCTCACACACACACACACACACACACACACACACACACACACACACACACACACACACACACACACACACACAC